TTTCCCTTTAAACACTTTCTTTATATTATTCTGCTGTTTTGTATCAGTAAAGATTAAAATAATATGGATCACTATCTTTTTGAGTGATTGAATTTTTTTGTAAAATTTCTTTCTTATAGCCACCTGTGTCATTTTCTTGTATTTTTAATTTCTGGCACCTTTACATCTATCATAGTGTACTTTGACATGATGATAAACAGGACTTGTAGTTCAGTTTGTGCTGAAAAAGGCCCTGCAAAGGGAGACCTAAATGGTTTATATCTTTGTATGATTTAATTCTATAAACATAACCTGCATATCTAGAAGTATCATGAAGTGAAAATGTAAGTTTTGATTGTGGAAATCATTCATTTCATATCTGCAATTTAGCTGTAAAATATTTCAACAGAATCAGAAATGTTTAACAAAATAATGGTTCAGCATGGTGGACGTCTGCTCTTTATTCCCAGATGAACTTCAGAGACAGATCACAGAGTTTCTCCTGAAGCAGTTGATCAACTCTTTGACTCTGGGCAGCAGTAAAGACGTTCTTCCAGTCACCAATCTGACCTGCAATGAAGAAATTAAAGCTGCACCTGACACTGTATGTGTTCAGATGTTTCTCTGCAGTTATGAGAGCTGCAGTTATGTCGCATTACCTTTGCGCATGAAGTTTCCACTGATCTCTTCTTTTGGTATAAACTCATAGTTGGCTTTTTGGTCTTTCTTCATGGTTTTAAATGTGGCTTTTTCTACAACTTCATCAACATCTGCTTCACTGAGGTTTTTTCCTAAGAAACTGCAGATCTTAGTTACTGCTGCCTTCAGGTCCTGAAACAGAGAAACAGGAGACCAACAGAGGAAAACTTCAGTTCTGACAAAGAATTTATTGGAGTGTTTTCACATGAACAACCTGAGGAGAAAAGCACATCTTACCAAGATCATGTCCTCATAGGTCAGGAAGAGGATGTTGTACTGGTCTTTCTTTGAATGCCACTCTCTGATGTGGTCAAACCAGGATGCTCCTAAGACTATAATTGTATAATGTATCATTTAATTTAGCATTGTCCATAAATATGTTTATTGAATACATTGTATTTATCTCAACAGTTTATAATATGCAAATACAGCCAACATGGTAAAGTACAAGAAGAAGGGTTTTCACTGATTAGATGGATTAGCACAAAATCTTGTCTAGACATTTATGAATGTTCATTAAACACAACGAACATCGCTCAGAAAGCTGAAGTAAAACTTATCAAATGAGAGAAAGACAAGTTTTTAGCAATGCTAGCAGTGAGGCACTTGGGATCTGTTGGTCCAGACTGAAATAGTTCAACAACCAGCAGATTGCCACGAAACTCACTGTGGAAACTTATGTTGACTAAGGGATTGGTGCTACAGATTTTCACTGGCTCCTATAATTTTCATTCCATTAGATGGATTGGTTTGAATGAACTGATTTGTTTTTACAGATTTATTAGTACCAGATCATTTGGTCAGGTCGTCATCATCATCATCACCATCATCAACAACCAGATTGTGGAGCTGAGATATCTCACCATTGCCTGTCAAATACTGCTCCAAAAACTGGTCAAAGCTCTTTGGAGTCTCCATGTAGGAGCAGACAGTGCTGAAGTGGTAATAGGAGGCAATGTTGTCCTTTGGATTACGCATCACATAGATAACCTAACAAACAAACAGAGCAATCAGAATTTAACCTGATCATATACATATCAGTTTCCCCTCTAGGACAAACTTCATTCAAATAATTCACTCTTTGATGATATTTTGTCAAATACATACCTGCTGTTATTTTGATGTCTTATCTAATAATTAGGTAAGTAAAAACTTCCAAAACTTATTGTGTTTCAAGATTTACATATATTAACGTATTTCAATGTTGAATGTCATAACTATAATTGAGTCAGTCAGCTCATTTTAATCTGTGAGTATTTTAATATCAGCTAATGACATAAATAGAAAGTCACTTTCGATTTTTCCCATTTAGGGGTCGCCACAGCGAATCATCACACTGACGACTCGCATGTTAACATTTGGCACGTGTTTTACGCTGGATGCCCTTCCTGACGCAACCCTGACTCGAACCTGGGCCGCAGCTAATCACATAAATAAATATCTAAAAAACCTTTCAAAAAATATTAAACATTTGATGGCTGTAGTTTGTAATATATATGATTTGCTGCTTTGCCCTGTCATACATTATAGTAATTGAACAAATTTGGGTTTTTGACTGTTGGTTTAACAAAAAGCTACATTTTAAAATATTAACTATTGTTTTGGCAAATGTGTGGGCACAATAACTATTTTCTTACATTTTCAACACCAGACAAATTATTGATTGAAAAAATAAATCAGCTGATAAATTATTTTCAAACATGCACATAATTTCTTATAACCATAAACTCTACTGTAGCCTATATTACACTAATTTTTAGTAACATCAACGCTGTACACTACTTTTTGTATTAACCTGATGCACTATTAATGTGATGTAATGACGTTAATACTTTTGAAAATTTTACTTAATTAAGATTGTGAATGCAGGATTTTTATTTGTAACAAAGTATTTTTAGACTGTGGTATTACTACTTAATCCACCAGTGCATAAAATACACACCTTTGCCTTCTTGTCCTTCAGTCCCAGAGGCATGAGAGCTGGGGTGAGGTGAGAGGAGAAGAGTCGTGGAGACGGTCGCAGAGAGTAGGGTTCATGACTCTCCATGTACTCCAGCCAAGGCATCTGCTCGTAGTTGTTTGGATATTCATTCAGACCTCCACTTAACTCACAGATGGAGATGATGATCTGCTGAGTCCATATAGTTCCTGTGAGGGGGAGCAGTTTGGAGAAATCACACATCAGTGAATCTGTTCCCAGCAGGACATATAACCATGAATACAAATAATGTGATGTAGTTCTGTAAACAGCTGTTTTACTGACCTGACTTTGGATAAGTGACAAGGAATATGTCACTGTCTCGTATTTCAAAGCTCTGCAGTGAATCAATGTGCTCGGCATTTATCATACAGCTGATAAAAATGTAGTTCTTATACCTGCACAGGTAGTCACTGATATGTTCCATATTAGTTGAGTCAAACAGAAAAACAAGAAAAATGTTACGTATAAGGTTGTCACAGCTCTCAGCTGGACTCTGGACTTTGGTTCTGAAATGCTGAGTTTGATTTATACATGTCACATGTATACTGTTATGTTGTATAATATATATTGTATAATAATCTATTTGAAATGCTGACCAGTGCAGAGTGACACCTATAGTATGGTTTATATACACGACACAGTTTGTTTTTAGTGTTATAAACCACTGAAAGTCTTTTTTTTTGTATTAATGGAAACATAGCTTTACGAGGATAATCACCTTTATTTGGCCAGGTATGTTACACACAAGGACTTTGTTTCTGGCACAGAACCGAGGCAGCCATCTGCGGCGCCAACTCTAACCATAAGAGGACAACTTGGGGTCTCAGTGTCTTGCCCAAGGACATTTGGACTACAGGCACTGAGATTTGAACTTCTGGCCCTCCGGTTGGGAGACAACTGCTCTACCCACTGAACCACAGTCGCCCCCGTTTTATTTATAAATCATGTGAGAGAAGAGAATATTCATATTTTCAATTATTTATATTTACTTCTATAGACAGATGTAATTTCAGTTCTTAAGGGTGCTTTCACACCTACAGCGTTTAGTTCGATTGAATCGAAATAGAGTTCGTTTTCCCTCTTGGTGCGGTTCGTTTTGTCTGGTGTGAACACGGTAATCGCACTCGAGTGCGCACCAAAACAAC